TGCGATGCGCGTTAGCCACTTACCTTTCTGATTTTCACCATGATAACTATTCAAGGAAAGTTTCAACGATAACACGACGAACAAAGAAGAACATTTAAAATCGAATGTAAAAGAACGGAATATGAACACAAACTGGAAGAAATGCGAGATTTTATTCGAATTTATACTGAATATATATATATATATATATACATATATATATATATATATATACTGAATATAAAAATATATATATATATATATATGTGTGTGTGTGTGTATCGAATCAATTTCTAGTGATGTAATAGTTCAGACATGCATGATAACATGATATAATGTTCGCGAAATGATTTCTCACCTTGCACACGTTCGTCGACGTTGTTATTTCGTTTTTCATGTTATTTTGATTGTACTGTTGATGTGGGCTGTAACTGTCATCAACGTCCGTACTTTCGAACGCCTGCGGGAAAGTGTTAGCCGTACTGACAACATTGTTGCCGTCCTCGTGCTCGACCACGGTTGGCATAGGAGGCGCGTTCTCCCAAACTTTCTTTACCGATGCAATCTTCAAATTAAGCTCGGCAGTTGACGGCGAGATGGTGTTCTGGCCGGTGGCCATGTGCATCGACCGAGTCATGCCCAAGCTCTTGCTCTTGTCGACCTCGGTCAACTGCGACAGGTCCGAGTCGAAAGTGAAGTCCAACTTCATGTCCGCGTTGTCCTCGTTGTTCTTGTTGAACGACAGAGGCATCTGTATAGGCTCTTGATTCTTGTCTTTGATCAAATCGTTCGGTTTGTTCGAGAACGCCACCGGCAGACTTTGCTGTTGCGCCTGTTGTTGTTGTTGTTGTTGTTGTTGCTGCTGCTGCTGCTGTTGTTGCTGTTGCTGCATCGTTGCTGCGGCGCTGCCTTCTTCCTCCAAATCGGCGCGTTTTTCTATACGTTGTTGTTGTTGTTGTTGTTGCTGTTGCTGCTGCTGTTGCGTTTTCATGTGATTCGGGAATTTGGTTTTCACCGCTAGATCGGAAGGGCCAGCCTTGGTGGTTTTCGAGTAATTCGTGTTCTCGAAGATCAACGTTTGCACAGGCGGCGAGGACACGTCCGAGACGGACCCTTTCTCCATCAGCTGGTCCTTCAAACTTTTGCCAACGTTATTCTTTTCACCGTTCGGTGAGTTTCGTTGACTGCTGTTACCAGAGTTGGTGGCTTGCTCGTTCACTTCGTGGCTGTGAACAACGTGGCCGTGATCGTTCTGCGCGGACAAGCCGGGTATCAGTTGAATGTCAACGGGGACAACAGCCGACGGCGAGTTGGATTGTAACTGGCTGGTGGTGAACGGTTTGTCCCACGCGTTCACAGATGGCGGAGGTGCTGGGCCGCTGCTGCTCGACGACTCTTTGCCAAAGCTGCTCGACGAGCAATTATTGATTTTGTTGCTCGCGTCGTTTGCCTCGGACGCGCACATTTGTTGTTGCTGTTGCTGCTGCTGCTGTTGCTTGGCTAGTCGCTGCTTCTGGAATCTAGGAGCCAGCTTCTGGCTTCGCGAAGTTCTGTCGTATTGTTTCTGCAACATGCTTGCAGGTTGTGGAATGGCTTGGCCGAGCAAAGGCGGTATATTCTGGACTTGTTGTTGCAACGAAGCTGCTTGCTGCGAACCACCGCCGCCACCACCACCGCCGCCGTTTGCTTTCGACTTGGAACGATCGCGCTCCCTCTCGCGATCTTTCTCCTTTTCACGCTTCAGAGGTTTCGTCGTCTCCTCCTTCTGGCCGTGTCTCGACTCTTTCACGTTCTTCTTCGAACGCACCTCCTGGAAGCCATCGGAATCGACCTTGTCCTCGACGACGCTGGCACCGTCCTCCGTGCAGTTACTCGTTTCCATTTCGCAATCGATTATCGCCTTCTTCTCCTTGCCCTGGCCGGGCCTTTTGCTGCCGATGTCGTTGAGAGCTTGATTAACCAAGTTCGAATCGGTCAACTTTAACTCGTCCATGCGATTCACCGTGCTGTCTTTCGTCAACGATTTGCCCGAACAGGTCGACGAGTTACCACCGCCAGACGTTTGATTTCTCGACCTTCCGCCGCCGTTTTGCACTTGAGCCTGAGCCTGTATCAACGGCGGGATGCTGCTGGAATGATTCTTCTGACCGAGGAAACTGGAATTATTCTGCAGGTTACGTTTCTCAGCGCCAGGGGCTCGAGACGACGCCGTTGCATTGGAAGACTTGACGTTTTTCTCGCGTTGATCCCCCCGGTTGTTCCCCGCCAGCTCGTTCCTACGCGAATGCATGTTCGACGACGCTACGACATTCTGATTACTACCGGTGCTCGCACGTACAGAGAACTGCTTGTTGTTGCGATTGTTGCGCGACTCTTTGTGATCGTCCGCGTGATCCTCGCTGTTCTCAGACGTGGTTTCCCAATCTTCGTTCCCCACGTCCGAAGACGTTTGCTTCGATATGTTGCTACCGCCGCTGCTGCGGTAACGCAACTCGCGATTATCTCTGCCCTACGGAAACATGACGAACGAACGAGTGAATTGCTTAAATCAAGAGCTTTTATTTAATATTTATATTTATATTTATATTTAAGAAGAGAGAGGCAGCTATATCGAAAGAGAGACTGACTTACCCTTCTACTTCCACTGCGTGTTCTCTTTGACCGCGACTCTTCCTTCCTGACAACCTGCATCTTCTGAGACGAAGCGTTGCTGCCCGAAGAAGCGTGATTCGCGTCCAGTTTGTTGGCCGACGACTGCTGTTGTTGATTCGGCGATTTGGCACGTTTCCCAGTTATTCCTGCGGTGAGCGCTTGCTGCTTCGCTATGATCTTATCGTCGGTGGACTCGGCCTGCGACGCAGCCAACAGGGAACAACTCATCATCTCCTTCTCCGGAGTGGGCGTTGACGGATTCTGTCGCATCGGGGTGGCAGCATTCGCTTTCTCGTCGACGTTGCGCTCGGAGGAGAACGGACTCTTGCTAGACGGGGGCCCGTATCCCTCCATGCGGCTGCCGGTGGCAGTTGTACTTCGAATTCGGAAACTGCTTCCTCGGCCGCGGCGAGACGGTTCGCCCGAAGGCGCGAAACCTTCGCGATTCAGTTTACTACCGTCGCCGCCGTACGTTCGTTTCTCGCTCCGTTGCGACTGAGCGTAATCTGAGCCGCCGCCGCCGCCGCCGCCTCCTCCTCCTCGTTTCTCATCGCGAGCAGGCGCCACCATTGCTTCGCGATTGCGCTCCTCTTTCTCCGCCTTTTGATTAGGCTTGGGCGATCTGGCAGACTTCTTCTCCTCCTTGCCGGACTCTGTCGAGCCGGACACCTCGTCGGCACTGTTCTCCGAATCGGTATGTCCGTACGAACCGCTTCTGGCGGAGGCTGGCCTGGCGGCGGCTCTCGGCCCACCTCGTCGCCCTCTTGTCTCTGGGCCACGCCAACCTCGGGCGTACACGCTGTACGTGCTTCCCCCCCATTGACGTCCGCCGCCGCCGCC